TGCATGGTTGTAGACCATGGATGGTGGCTCCACTGGGGCATGAACCCAGGACCTTCTGCATGTAAAGGAGACGTGCTAACTGCTACACTATGGAACCACATCCATAATGCTGTACATTATATTCTCAGAACTTATTCTTATAACTGGAAGTTTGTGCCCTTTAACCAACATCTCCCCATTTCTTTCACCTCTCATGCCCTGGTAATCACCACTCCACTCTCTATTTCTATAAGTTTGGATTTTTAAGATTCCACATATAAATAACATACAGTCTGACTTATTTCAGTTAGCATAATACCTTCAAGTTTTATTCAAGTTGTTACAAATAGCAGGATCTTTCTTATAGCATCTTATATATAACATCTTCTTTATCCATTCATGTGTTGATGAACACTTACTTAGGTTATTTCCACAATTTTGGCTATTGTGATAATGCTGCCTTGCGCATGGGCATACAGATATCTCTACAACATCACAATTTCAGTTTCTTTGGATACATATACAGCAGTAGGATTCCTGGAATACATGTACATTATCATTTAATAAGTGTCCAATGCCTCCTCGGTCCTAATGAAATTTCGTATATATAGGTGAGGTTTTACTTGGTGCTATTTTTCTATCTGTTCCAGAACCAAACCATTTAGTTAATATAGCTCCATATTATCTTGATATTTGGTAAGGCAAATACTGCACTTTGTTCTTATTTGCCATCAAGTGGAATAATCTTCCTCTATTGCTCTTTCATATAAATTTTAAAAATTAGCTTCTCAAATACAATAAAATCTTGGATTTGCCTTAAATCTAAAAAGCTATTGTGGGGGGGGGGTGGAATTGACGTCTCTATGATATTGTGTATATCTATCCAAAATTAAAATATTCTTTCCATTTTTTAGGTCTTTTGTGTCCTTCAGTAGTAAAATGTTATTGATTTTTCCACAATGTTCTTTCACATCTTTTCTTGGAACCCTTTGCAGATATTTATTTAATGTTTTGTTAAAGTGTCTTTTAGAAATCACACTTTCTAAATAAATTTTGTTTTATAAAGCCATGCAATTAATATTCGTATAGTATTTTGATTTCTGCAAACTCACTGCATTCTATTGTTCTTTCTAATAAATTATCTCTAGATTCTTGGCATTCTCTACCTAGATGTTAATATTACCTGTTAATGGTTGCACTTTTATTTCTTCTAGATGACTCAAACCCGAACTATGTTGTTTGTATGAAAGCAGCGTTAGTATTTGTTATATACTGTTCTTTATTTTAAAGAGTGTTTTGAGTATTTGACCATTAAGTATTTCATATACTGCAGATTATTTCTGAAATACCCTCTTTGGAGTTAAGGTAGATTCTTCTATTCTTACATCACTATTTTTATCATTATGAAAGGATATTGTACTATATTCAAATGCTTTTCCTCCATTTCTTGAAAATAATCATATGTTTAGGTCTTTACTAAATAAT